AAATTAATAAAAACTAATAGTTTCACTTTAATGTTCAATGCATTGCACTATATCACATTTCGAATTGCACAAAAAATACGCTCGCAATAGACTGCACATTATTGATGGACACATTGCACATTATTGTTTGTCAGATTGCACTTTATCACAATAGTGTATTCTGTGCAATTGACCAAACTTGAAAAATTTGACAGTGTCTAGAGCGTTGATATATCACATTCAAGGGCTATGATACATTTTCTATTTATTCCACTATATCACTTTTCTCATATGATACTTCTTTTATTAACTCAAAGATTGTATATACTAAATATAGTTTTGTAGAAAAAAAAATATAGTTACACTCCGAGTGTTCGTCTGCGTTAGTCGTATTGCACATTATTGAATGCTATGTTGCACACTATTATTAGACAAATTGCACATTTGTGACAGTCAGATTACACTATAGTGACCGAACACGACCGAATAATTCTTTTTATTTTTTTGGATCGAATTTGTGTCGATTAGATTATATGTTTTTACTTTTAATATTTCAGTATAACGAAACTAACTTGACCAACCAAACTACATGAAAAAATATTATATTTTATATTTTATATAAAATTATTATTTTTTCAATAAAATAAATAAACAAAATGTTAGATGAAAAATATTTGTGCATTCTACATGTCATTAATGTGCAATTTAAGTATCATTAAAGTACAATTTACATAACATTAAATGTAATTATTAAATTTTTTATAAATTATAAATTGAACCCATGGATTGAATTGGAATAGAGTAAAATTTACACAATTGCAATTGAGGCCCTTAAACATATCAAATTCCCACAACAAATCTGTAACGCCCAGGATATTAGTTACTATTTATGGAGCTCGACTTTATTTCCATAAATAGCTAGTTTCTTAATTTGATGCATTTATTATATTTATTTGCATTAGAATGAATAATAAATATTAAAATCTAAGCCATGGAGATTTTATTCTATTTTAATTATTAAAGTCGGATTTATCTGGCCCAAGTATCAGTTATATTTATAACACCGAGCCTTGGAATTATCAGAAATTTTATTTAAGCGAATCAAAGTCGGATAATTTGATTATTCGAGCCCAATTGATTTTGAGCAGATCCAATTTTATTAGTAAGCCCATTTTTAATTCGAGTAGTCAAATTAATTTCCATGCCAAGCGATAATTTAATATCGAGCCCTCGTAGTATTTTAGTTCCGAGCCCAATATTCAATTTCGCCTCAAGTCGAAAATATTACTACAAATCGTCATATTTTATTTAACTGATTAATATAATTAGTTCGAGTTCGACTAATTTTATTAACCGGGTATTTAAAATTCCTAGTCCACATCCGATTTTAAAATCGAGCCCAAGCGTAGGATTTCTACTAGCCTAAATAACAATTGATATTTTTGGAGCCCAAGTTCAAGCCCAATTTAATTAAATTTAAGCCCAAGATTGAAGCCCAAATTGCACAACTAAAACCCTAATTTTTCCCAACGCTATAAATACACCTTATCTCCATCTTCATCATCTTTTTCCCAACAAACACAAACCCTAAATCTCCAAGCTCTCCACCTCCATCTTCAATATTCTAGCCACTTTCCGGCTACAAACCGACCTCCGGCGAGCCCTCCTGTCGGCGAGCCAAGACAAGCTGAACATCGCACACCTCAGTCCGCCCCGAGCTAATGTCGAGCACCTTTCAGCAGCAGCGAATCAGCTCGGATTCGCAACCTCAGCCCGTCGGAATATACAACCAGCCACCACCGGCGCGCCACCCCAGCTCACCTCCTCGCCGCCGTTTGTCGCGCCTAGCTTCAGTAACCCTGTTCCCGGAGTCCATCCCGCAGCAGCTCGAGTCCAATCCCTCCCACGAGCAGCTCGCCTTGGTCCAAGCCCACACGCGACATCCCAAGCACGATTCCGGCGAGTTCACGCCGGAAAAAACAGAACCTCACCGCGACCTTGCACTACCCGTACCTGCCAGCGCGAGTTCACCCCCGTCCGAGTCCAGGGTGACCGAGTTCATCGAGTTCAGCCACTTCAGCCTCGAGTACGGCCAACCCACGACCGGTTCTGTGGCCAGCGAGTCACCCTCGACCTCAGCGACCCGGTTGGGCGCGACCCAACAACCCGACTCGCTCCAACTCGCCCGACTCAGCGAGTCAACTCATGCGACTCGTACCCAACTCAGCCCAGTCAACTCGGACAGAGTTGACCCCCTCCATTTTGACTCCGGTTCGACCCGTTTGAGCAACAACGACCCGATTTTGCTTCACCGATAATTTTTCTTTAGTTTAATCGACTTTTCAACCTTCGATTCGAGCCCGGTTAAGGTACTTTAGCTTGAATCCTTCTCCAAATGGCTTAACTATGATTGATAGAAAATTTTAAAATGTGAAATTGATGCATTGAGTGAAACTTGAATTATGGGGAATTTTACGAGCTTGGAACGATCAATTTTTCAATCTCTTAATATACAAGTGATAAAATGATAATTTAAATTTGGTAAACCATAATAAATTGTCTTGAGGCTTAGGTGCAAATTTGATAAGATTTGGAGTTCGTTTGGTAGACGAACGAGACTTTTGAATGAATTGACCGGTTGAAGTGATTGCTAGTTGAATGAGTTTGGTGTTGAATTTGGACTTGATATTTTGACCGTATATCACGATTATGTTGAAAATGTTACATTTCAAATTTCATGAATTTTGGATGTCACTTGACTTAGTTATAAAATCGGGACTTTTAGCCGAGGAATGCGATATTTTAGAAAATTAGCCGGATATGATTTTTAGCTGCAGTTGATGGATGTAAAATCCATATAAATCACATAGAAATTAGTGATTTAAATATTTGCTTAAAATGAGTTAGATTTTCGAGAATTGAGAAAACCTAATTTTATCTGGTCCCAATAACTGGGAATTTTTTCGGATCCGATTATAAATGTATGAACCCTAGTACCGTCTGAATAATTTTTAGTCGTCGTATCGATAATTCGTAATGTGTATCGACATCTCGTGCACGTGATCGCCTCTCATCCTACCGTTGTAGCCGAATCGCCAAGTGCGTGTCCGTGCACCGAGTCCGAGTCAAACCCCCGAGTGCGTGCCCGTGCACCGAGTCCATCCGACCTACCGTCTACGTGTCGTCTCCATTATCCGTGGTCCAAGCACGCCCCTGCGTTAGTAACCGTGGCACCGTTCCAAACCCGTGCATCGACTAAGCCGTGTCTGTCGAGTTCGTGTCGGCCCGAGTTGCCACGCCGAACTCAGACCACGGTCAAACCGAACTGCACATAGTCAAGCAAATGATCGACCGGCTCCGAGTGAGCCGTCGGTCCAGTTCAGTTGAACCGGTCCGGTCAGTCCGGACGGTTCTAGATATATTTCAGATATATATTTCAGATAGAATTTCAGAGATAGAATTTTAGATAGAATTTCAGATATGTATTTCAGATAGAATTTTATATATATATTTTCGATAGATTTCAGATATAGTTAAGATTCCAGATAGATTAAAGACCCAGATATAGTTTAGATTTTAGTTAGATTAGATTAAGTCAGATTTTAGTTCCAAACTTAGAAATATTTCAGAGAACTCTAGAATGCCTCAAAGACAATAATATTTTCAAAAATCATCTCGTAAATCCCTAAAATGATTTTTAAAGCAGAATGAGCTAACCTAGATATATAAGGTATCAAAGATTCGAGTTTTATTCTGAGCCTAGTACTTAGAATATTTCGCTCATAATTTGTAGCTTGAGAAGGGTCGAGCCTCCGCCTGCTACACAACATATTTCAGATATTTCAGCATCCGCATTCGCTGTTTTACAGGTGGGGACCATGTACTGTGTATTTCATCGCTTTTAATAATTTACCATGTCTGAGATCTATATGTGATTAAATTGAAGGACCGAGACGGATGAGTGATCCCGTCTTGGTCAAGATGTCAGATGTCAGTTGTGACTTGGTTGAGTTGGCGATGCCCAGCCTAAGTCTGGCATCCAGATGGGGTGATTAGTGCCTTTCCTGGATTTTTGTGGGAGGGGACCCCCAGAGTGTGCACATGAGTACCGGTTTACCGTTAGTCCCATAGCCAGACCAGTTTTTTCATATATATATTGATTTCATAGTTTGTTATTAATTGTGCTGAGTATTCAGTGCCGGTTCTGGCGGAGCACCGTTGATTCCTTTGTGCTCACGCCTCCCCACTACCCTATTTTTCAGGTGATGGAGTCCCGCGTGATGCATGAGCAGATATGTGGTGTTGGTCCAGCTTCAGGACATTTTTGTGAAAACATGTCATATTGTATTTGAACATGTTTGAATTATCTATTCTTGTTTTATGCTAGTGCGCTTTTCTGAACTTGTACTTGCTTCCGCATGTTAGACTTGTGTTTCAAATGTCAGGTTTCAGACTATTATTTCAGATTTCAGATTTTCAAAATATGCATGTTTTATTCGGTATTATTCATGGCCATGATTCTAGAATAAATTTACTTGATCGCATGCATGATAGATTAAAGAGATAAAGATATAAGATTAAAGTTGAGTAGCACCCCGTGTTTTAAAGTTAAAGTATTTTCAAAAAATTAATATGAGTTTTCGAAATTAAAGCAGTGCTTTCCATTTATAGCACGAAAAATTTACTCTAATTTTAGTAAGTCTAGGCGGGGTGTTACAAAATCACTCATTATACACAGTGTAAAGTTATGTTATGTTTTTTCAGCCTCCCTACCAGCGACATGAATGGATGAGTTGTGGCGGGGACTTGCTTACTAGCGGCAGGCGGGGGGTGGTTCTCGCTGTCGGCGAGCTGCAACTTCTGACAAGTGGTTCTCACCGCCTGCGATGTCCTGTTGCGACGTCAGGACCGTCGCCGACGATGACGCTAGTGGCGGAGACGGTTGTTTGCTGCTACACTATGTAGGCGACAGATGACAGACTAAGTAATGCGAGGCGTTGGCGAGGAAAAGCTGTGGTGGACTAACGGCTGAGGCGGCGGCGGAATGTTGGCTGAAGGCGGAGGCGGATGGCGATCTGTGGACGGCTGGTGTTTCTGTGTCCGTCAACATCGGAGCTCGCGCCGTGAGCTCTGGACGGGCTGACGGTATCGGCTGAAGTAGGTGGCAGTAGTTCCGTCGAGGACGACGACATGGCTGACGAGTGGAGAGTCGGCTTAAGGTGCGGCGGTGATGGCGGCGGCGAGATGGCAGTCTGTGTAAATTTTTGTGTGTGTGTCCGTGCATGCGTGAGTGTGGAAGAAGATGAGGGTGGGAAGGGGTAGAAATAATTATGTTTATAATAAATGATGTTAGTGGTGGGTCCCACATGATGTTGAATTTGAATTAAATATCCAAACTACCCTTAATTATTGGTCAAATACACATTTGACCATAATATGATCAAATAATTACTAGATTGCCATTATTGATAGACCATATTTTGACTTCATCAAAACTATTGATTTGTTAAATCCAATGGACCATAATCATTCTTATTTCTTTCACTATCTACCATTCTCATATGATCCCTTATATATATATATATATATATATATATATATAGAGAGAGAGAGAGAGAGAGAGAGAGAGAGAGAGAAAATAGCTATTTTCACCCCATTTTGAAGTCCTGCTAAATTTTTCACACCACCCAATAAAAAGTTAAGTTTTCACCCCAGGAAGTACGAAGAGATATGCGAAAAACTATACGATAGATAGACGACCGGTATGAGCATGGGCGAGAAAATTATGAGTTAATGTATGCAACGAATATGCGGAGATTCGATGTACAACTCGGTCAATCGCGGTCCGTCACCCATTAAATAATTATTATTGTTATGCGAATGAACTGCGACTATTAGTCAAAAAATTATTTTGCGACATACCAACGTCGCATATTATTCGCAAAATTGGTGCATAATTAAGTTTTTTTCGTATTTCTTTCATCTTTCAGTTATGCGAGGCGGTATGCGAATTGTTGCATATTGCTCGCATACCCCCTTCGCACTTCTACTCGAAAGTGTATTTTTTATTTATTTTTTTATTTCTTTCATCTTTCAGTTATTTCAGTTATGCGATGGGATATGCGAATTGCCGCATATTGCTCACATACCACCTTCGCACTTCTACTCGAAAGTTTATTTTTTATTTCTTTATTCTTTCTGTTATTTCAGTTATGTGATGGGGTATGCGAATTACCCCATATTGCTCGCATACCCCCTCCGCGCTTCTACTCGAAAGTTTATTTTTTATTTCTTTCATCTTTCATCTTTCATCTTTCATCAAAAGTTTATTTTTAAAATTTAAATTTTTGAATGGTTTAGAAACCGCTGGCAGTTGGAACGTTATGGCCGATTTCGAGGCGTCTTATCCGCTTTTCGAAACGCCTGGGCAGTAAGAGCGTGCAAGCGAATCGTTTCATCCGTTTATATAAAGCGTGTAATCTTCGATCCATATCATGCCACTTCTCTTACTACCCATCCGTCCCCCAGAACTCTTTGTTAATGGCCCTCCGTTTTTCCATTTTCTTGTATATGAGAAGCAGTTCGCCGGAGATAATCCAGAGTTACAAAAATTCTTTCTTTCGACCCGTGAGTCAATTCTTTAAGATTACTGTGTCCGAATTGAGAACTCATAACCATTCAAATTTGTCGGAGGAATAAATTCAACAAGCGGATATTCCGCTATCCAACTTTATTAACGTGGCCCCGTCAGGAAACATATATGCCGAGACAGCAACGATGAAGATCAAACCTCTGGGCCTGTGTATTGCCGGATCAACTGTGAGAAGGTTGAAGGTTGGAACAGCGCGCATCGGCGACCGGGGCGTAACGGCCCGGCCCTCTGTCAGAGGCAATGCTGGCCTCAACCTCTCTAGGTTGTGGTCGACCAGGTTTTCCTGACAGAGGAAGGTGTTTGGTCGACGGGGATCTCTTCCCGAAACCCGTCAGAGCCCATCGGTTCAGAGTGTGGTGGTCGGGGCCGATCTCATGCTGGAGTTCTACATAGAACTCCACAAACAAGCTCCACCTACAGCTCCTCTTTCTCGAGTCTGAGTGCTGTGGTAGCTCATCGGTTCTATTCTGCCACACATTGTGAAACACTCGTGTAGTATAAATGCAGAATAATTTATTTATTTTTTTATTTCTTTTGGAAATTTTCTATTCTGTGAAATACAAACGTCGCGTATTATTCGGCTAGTTGTTTCATAATAATTTTCTTTTAGAATTTATTTTTTTAAAGATTCTTGTTTAGGCAAAATGAACCTGAGACTATTTGTCGAAAACATTACGCACAACAAACGCATAATACGTAGTTTAGGCTAGTGAACCTGCGACAAATAGTCGAAATACAAACGTCGCATATTTAAGGTTTTTTTTTGTAGAATTTAATTTTTGGAAAATTCAACAGTTTAGGCTAATGAACCTGTGACAATTAGTCGAAACAATTTCGCATACAAACCGCACAACATTCGTAGTATAATCGAAAAATTTATTTAAACAAAAATTGTTTTTGGAAATATTCTATTCTGCGACACACATAATTGCGACAAATAAACGTCTCATAATTCATTCGCAGGTCAACCGGAGGATATTCGCATACCCACTTTTTGTGTAAAACAATTATTAAACAATTATTTTGGTCTCATAAATGCGATTATATATGCGACCGTCTCACGACGGATATGCGTTTATTCGCAAGTCTACCGCAGGGTATTAAACTGCGAAAGAGATACGGAAACTAAACCATTATATTTATTTGGTTTATTAAAAATGCATCGGAATTGCGAAAGTATGGCGCTTTTTACGCGAACATTACTCGACAGCTGTTATTTCGCATATTTTGTCATATAGTTTATTATTTAAACAAAAAGAAAAAAAAAAGCAAAACATCACATATACGCTACAGTTGCACGTCTCAGGAGAAGAAAACAAAAAAGAAAGAGGGGCGAAAAATTTGAAACTCCATCTTCCATCATGCGACATTAATTCACATAGTTAGAAGTAAAAGAACTGTTAGAATTTAAAAGAAAAAAAGAACCAAATATGATAAATGAGAACAAAGTCATGGCCTTCTTAAGAGCTTCTGAAAATTTCATGAATCAAGCTTTTCTCGAGGCAGCCGGCCAAGCGGGTGCCCTAACAGCGGCTACTGCGGCCGACGACTCAACGGCTACCGTAACAGGTATGGCGGGCTGCGACTCAGCGACTGATGGCACAGTTCCGGAGGCCATCTCTTTTGGAGAGGTAACTTCCATTTGTTGCAATTATTTAATTTAAGTTATTTAATTTCATTTGTTTTAATTGTTGAGAAATAGTTGTTTTTATTTGATAATGTATAAGTGATTTGATTTGAATAATTAACAACAACAACAATGCGATTGTTTAGGATTTGTTGTCGTACAAGCGACATCGCCTAATCGATAAATATGAAGGGCTGAAGATCAACGTTTACAGCCGACAGTATATATGTTCTGATATCAGGAACGAGTTGGGTCTCATTGAAGGGGCCTTGTCTGCTTTCCAGGGCTCGGTCTTTGGTTCGTTCCTCCAGTTTGATGATAAGGCTAATGTCTCTGCAAAGGCAATGCATGGGGTTCTTTCGCGCGAGGTGACTCGTGTCGGTCAGAACCCGAACGAGATGTGGATCCGTATTGGTAACCATTTAACCCGATTCACCGCCCATGAGTATGCTGTGGTCACCGGGCTTGCTTTTGGACCGCCTTTGTTTGACCCAAACTCAGTGCCTCCTCCTCCTCCATCGTCTATTTTCTATGAGAAATATAAAGGCAAGGGGTCACTATGCAGCAGTTGCGTGATGACTTCAAGGCGGGGCAGTTCCGCCACTCTCGGGATGTGATAGTGAGAGTGGCGAAGATGCTAATGCTCATGTACTTTATAATTCCTCATGACGACAAGAAGGCTCGGTATATTGATACCTGCTGGTGGGCTTTGCTAGAGGAAGACCAAATGTGGGAGAAATTCCCATGGCGGAGTTACTCGTTTCAGTACCTGCTCGACTACTTGAAGACGGCCCAGTACAGTAAAATGAAATTTTATATCTATGGATTTCACTGGGCGTTTTTAGTATGGTGCTACGAGGCAATCCCTGCATTAGGTCGTACATGTGGAGCATGTACCTCGGTGAGACGTCCACCACGACTGCTTCACTGGGAAGTGAGGAAGGTCACACTTCCAAATACATTTTTTGACCAACAGGTATTATTTGATCCTAAAATTTTTTTGTTATTATTGGAATCGTTAGCAAGTGATATTCGAAATTATTTTTTAAGTCTTAACGATTTCTGATGATTTCTTTAATTTTACGTTCTATTTTTTTTTTAAATTTAGTTGGATGTGCATGAGAGGCTGGAGTCGTATGAGTAGGAGAGTGTCGTGTTGGACCTCTCGAATTTGGATGTTGTTCAGGGGCCTAGATGTTTACGACGGCTTAACCCAGCCAGTCGCCATGTACAAGACTTGGCACTGGTGTCCACGTTTGTAATATCCCGACTTTTTATCAGTATAATTATATTTTAGTTCCGATATTATTTTTCGGAATTAATCATTTTCAGTTATTTCAGTCGAAATTACCGGAACTATTTTCGACGTACCGTTTACGTTCGAAATAATTTTGGTAATTAAGCAGTATGTTTAATTGGATAATTAGACATAATTAAATGATTAATTTACATTAATCACGAGATTAGTATTATTATTATGTTCGGATTTTATTGTAATCCAAGCTTAAGTATTGCCCGTGCACATCATTTGTTAATGCCGTGCGTTTTATGTGTAAGTGTTAGTGATTTTGGTGCAATTCATGCAAGGCCGTGTGTATTAGAGTT